AGGACAACGCACACCCTCGGACCATGTCGCAGCCCCAGCCGATGTCGTTCTGAACGAATCCATCTTTCGGGAAAACATGAGCGACGGCCGATGGTTGACCAAATCCCAATTTCGCAGGTTTACAGTGGCCCCTTTGAACCGATGGTTCAAGTTGTGGCGACAACCCGACCAATCTTTACTTCGCTGGCAAGTCTTTGTCTCACACCAATGGCAACTCCACAGCCAAACTCTACGGATGCGTCCTGACGGCAGACAGTTACGCGAACTCAAGAATTTACGGGAAAGATCGGAGCACATCGTGATCTCCCCTATTGATCATGGACCGCATTTGGCTTATGCATTTTGTCCTCGACAATACTTCGACATCTTGACCAAGACTTTCTTGGATCCTGCAGTCTTCTGGCGACGAGACACCAACCCGATGCAGCTATCGGAACACATACAACGAGCCATCAAACGACATGTTCCCACACGTTATCACTGGGCCCTGGCACCCAAAGCAGCTTTGCCGTATGCCTACGTGCTCCCCAAGCCCTCCAAACAATTCCTGAAGGGTCGCCCGATTGTCAGCTATTCCAACACGTGGTGTGCCACGCTCGCGAAATTTCTTTCTACCGCGGTCCTACAGATGCTACAGACTGTTGTTCCACCTCAGTTCGTGTCTCCTACCGTCCACTCCATCATCCAGACGTTCATCCATGCCTTCCGCAACAACCCGGTCACCGTGGAACTTCAGCTACTTCAACAAGATCTTTCTGGTTTCTTCACTTCGGTTCCACATGATCGCATTTACCACTCGATCTCGTCGTTGACAGACATGTTCGCTCGCCACCAACAGATTCCCTTGGACTCCGACATACAGATCACGATGCGGGACCGCAATTCACTTGGTCGCCTATTTCGAGGCCGATATCGAAAAGCCGGTTCACATTACAAACCTCTATGCCTTCGTGACTTACCTTCATTGGTTATGTTCTTGCTACGTCACTCCTTTTTCACAGTTGGCACGGAGATTTTGGTACAACATCGCGGGGCCTCTATGGGCTCACCCATGGCCCCCTCAATGTGCGGAGCGACCGCAGCCCTGTGGGAAGCCACATTCCACCAACTCATTCGCGACCAGATGCTGACCTCTCGTTATTTCTGTTCTTCACGCTATGTGGACAATCGGTGCCTCCTTCGGATTTGGGATGGGGAACTGGAATCCCTGGACGATTGCCAACGACACCACTCCCACCGAGGCCACGATCCTCTTTCGTCATCCTCTACGTCCCCGTATGGTTGGTTCCAAGAGGTATATTTACATCCACATTTCTATGGCCTTCCCTTGGAATTGGAACATGTTCCGGGACAAGAACTACTGGGCACCGTCGTGGACACCGCACAACGTTCCATCCGACTCGTCCTTCCACGGAACAGTATCTCTTTGCGCTCCCCGTGCTCAGTCTCTTCGACACGCAGGAACACTCAGGGACTGACCACACGGATTTATCTCATTTGCCGATTATCCTGGCCCAAAGCCGTCATTGCTCCTCAAGTCCGTGAACTTGTTCATCTATATCGTGAACGAGGTTTCTCTGAACGTTCACTGGAAGACGCCTCCCGGTCCGTACTCCGTCGTTTTGGACTACGTTGGCGACAGGTCAGTGAACCCCCGGAAAACTTGCTCGCATGCGTGTATTGAACTGGCGCCCTTTTGTCCGTTTGTTGATTTGTTCGCAGGCATTTTAGGTCAAGTTACCACCAGAGCCCTTCATCATGGCCGGTTCTTCCCCCGATTCCTATCTCTTGGACGACGTCACCTGGACACCAGACCCGGACATGCACTCAGACCTGGACGCCTCCTCCGCACATGATGCTGGTCTACCTCCCGCCGGTTCAGATGTTGATGGGGACCCCACACCTCATCACACCCTTCCTCTTTCTCCCTCTCCTCTCCCCAGAACACCCGCCAGCAAACGCCGTCGACGACATCGCCACCACACTACCTCCTCTTCTTCCACATCATCCCGACCTTCCAAGGCCACGTCAACATCATCTTCGACATCTTCATCGTCTTCATCCTCTTCTTTGTGCCCCACTACGGAACTACGAACACTGGACCCACCTATTTCCTCGTCCCGTTCGAAGACACGCCCACGGAAGACACCTTCGGGGACCAGCACTACCACTCCAGCGACAGGAGCTACACCAGCCCCGACCAATTCTCCCTCAGCGACATTACACGCTCCCCCTCGTGTCCGAATTCCTCCCCGAGGAAATGGTTATACATTACATCGAGTACGCCGCAGCAAGTCGGGCACTACACATTCCACCGTATCATTCCATGGAGATGCCGCAGAACGTCGCCGACAACAGTGGCTCCGACAATGGCGCCAATGCACTCCTGCCTCCCCGTACTATCAGGACGTGCAGAACTGCATCAGACATCGCGCCCGCATTATGTTGGACATCATAGCACATGAACGAGGAGGACCCACTGCAGCCTCGGACAATTTACGGATACGACGCCGCTATCACCTACCAGAAGACCAACTCATTCCTTTGGCACTCATCTACCGGGATTGTGCTGCTCGCCGACGACGGTCCGTCCGTGAAGTTCTGAGTACCTGATTCCACCGAGATCCCGCTCTGGAAAACATGCCCGATAACTCCGTTTCGTCAGTCCCATACCCGCAGATTTTTCACCGCAGCTTTTCTGTACAAACACAGTTGGTTTCCCTTCCACACCAACGAATGGCTTCCTTCATTGACGTCCTCCCCTTGCCCCTTTCCTATTTCGAGATGCAGACTGTGATACAATTGGATCCCCGTCATTGCCAACGTCCACACACTGACGACCGCCACACCACCCGTTCCGCCTTCTCCATTTTGACCGCACATCACGGCGATTGTTCCTGGCACCAATATGGCGTTTGGCAACAGTTCCTCGCCGCCCTTCAAGATCACAAGATGAGCGCCCACAACTTCTTTGGCTTCCACCACGACAACACGGTGTTCACGATCTATCACTATCAGCCCTCGGTCATTGTATACTGCAATCAACTGTGTTGGTGAGCCCACGTCCACCTACGTTCTGCATCACGACTTTGCCTACGTGTCCGTATTCGAGACCCTACCCTAGCACAGTGGCGACCTACTTCGTCTGGACCCTGGATTACCACATGCTGGTGTTCAGCGCATTGCCTTTCCTTTTCCAAATGGACACCTACGATTTCTCGCCGCCACTCACCTCCTCCACCCATCGCTACGGACAATCCTTATTGGCAACAAGAACAACAACGACATGGTCTTCTCCCCGCTCTGAGACGGTGAAGCTTTGGAGGACACGGACGGCAATTTTTGAGACAAAGACCCTCACTTGCACATCTTGACCCTGGTCCTTTTGCTCCACCGCAGCCTTTTCAGCAATATTTGGTTAGTCCTCCGCCTCTCCTTTCCTTCCTTTCGTCGCCCGTACACTCATGGCCCCGCACCTATCCGACATTCCTTTGGAATGGTGGCTTGACTACCTGGTGGAGCTCCGAGTATGGCAAGTTCGTCCGATGACCTCCCCCGATCTCCAGATCCCTAGCACCCTCCTTGACCCACGCTTTGTGATATCGCAACACCGATTCACCACATCTCAGAACCGCTACTACCTCGACACCCTCCACGGACTTTGTCAACTCAACCCTTCTTTCCAACGACTGGATTACTATGACCCGGACATTTGCGGTTACCAGTACAGCATGTTCACAACTGCACCATCTCCGAGTGTACTTCACGCACTACTTCTCGCCGACCGTCGACTACATTGCAACATGAGTCAACTGATACTGCGTCATCGCTGGCAACTTTGTCTTGGTCTACTTGCACCTAGAGTCTACGCTCGTCATGTTGATCGACGTCACTTTCAAAGACACGAATTGCCAACTCCTCTTCGAGAAGTTCTACATCGACTTGCCTTGCACCGCTGCCAGATCCTGCAAGTTCACCCGATGGCTCTACCTGCTCTACATGCTCACCGTCTTCGTCTGATTAATTCACCCCGCTACGGCGGGGTGTGTGTGTGACAACCCTGTATCCAAGGGCCTTCTCCTCACGCTCTGCAGCCATTTCCTATTTACGATGTACATATAACTGAACTTGAGTGCAGATTACACAGCAGGGGGTGGCAGCAGGGTCCAGAGTCTGCCACCAACGAAGACACTCTGGATACCCTGGTGAAGCACGGTCTGATCAACCGTGTGTACCTGCCGTTTGTGACATCGTATATCATCTTTGCTGTACATTGGTTTCACTTGGCTATTATTATTCTGGTTGCGCTTCTCTGGATATGGCATGGGGCTAAGCCGAGAACCCCGACCAGTCGTTCTCCTGCAGCTATGGTATCACTTCAGAAACAGTCAGTGCTTGAGTTCATGTCGTCTGGTATGCGCTGGTTTCTGGATGGCCTGGGGCTAAGCCGAGAACCCCGTTTAGTACGTACACTTGCAAGCATTGCTCAGTGCCAGTGTCCACCTCTTCAGTCCTTGCCGTGTCCTCCGGTGCGTTGGGGTTCAGGCTGGCGTTGTGGTTTAGTTAGGCAGTTTGAGGTGTCAGCCACAGACTTTCTGCACTTCCTCTTTGCAGTTGCTGTCCATGAAGCTACCTGTCCGAAGTCTCTGATGTGTGGTCACTTGAGACCTGGACATCAGGTGGTCCGTCGCATACCGAAACCTTCCTTAGCATTCAGTGTGTGTGTGTGGGGGTTGGGGGGGGGGATTTTTTGGGGGGGTTACGCCCGGGTTTGAGATTTTGGTAAGGGCTTGTGGAGGGTTTTTAACTGGTCTTGTAAGGGCTTCATAATAAGGTGTCTGCACGGGTTCCTGGTTTCGTTGCATATTCTAGGGGGTCTAAGGCTCTAGGGCGTTGGGTTTTGGATTTGGGACTGTGGGTTCGGGTTGGAGTCTGATTACTTTTCTAAACAAACACCCCCAACCCGGATCTTCTCGAAGTTCTGTTTAAAAGCAGGGTGCCTCGATGACGGCCGTGGCCCCTGCACCCTGATCGCCTCAAGGCGGGAGCTTCTGGAGCTAAGGTTTGACTGAGATGCCTTGCTACCCGGTCCTTCTGGCTCAGCCATGTACTCTTTAATGTAGCAAAGCCCGATGAAAGGCGAGCGGCCATCAATCTCAGGCTCGTTGACATCAACGCTGCCAGATTCGATCATCTCCTCAAGACACGCATCGACAGTTGGCTCGGGACAATGCCTCGCAGAATCCAAAGAGAATAGCCAGGCCGGACATGCAGACAGACAGTACGTCATGTCGCTATGGACAATCTGAACTCACAATTCACCTGCTGATCTCCGCAGCAGCACCGGTTTCTCTTGGACCAAAACAACAGAAAAAGCAACTTGCCCCAAGTCCACGTCTTTTACCATGCCATTTCAGAAGGAGGCACCCGGACTGTTCGAAGGTCTCCAGTCTGGCACGCAATCTTGAGCTTGCATTTCACCTGCCACAAACACGTAAACAGGGACGCGTGGGTGCCTTGCAATGGCTGCCAATAGACTGACTCATAAGGATAGACTTGTCCTACAACCTGCTATACCCAACTACACCATACTACAATACATGTTGGAGTCTCTGAACCGTCAAAGGCAAACTCACGGCCTCAAGAGGTGGGATAAAGATAACTCGGGTGGGCTGAAGGATCCCCAAGGTTTCCCACTTGGGACTGATGACTGACTAAAGCCCCACCATAAACCCGACCCCCTTAGCCCCTAAACACTGAGCCCCCCGCAACCCTCAAAACGCCTAGAAGCCGTGAAAACCACTACACACCCCTAAACCCTAAACCCTAAACCCCCTGGTTCCTAAACCTAAACCCTCAACCCTAAACCCCCCCCGGTTCCTAAACCCTAGGAGCTCAGTTGAGAAACCCGCCGAGCCATGTCCGGGCCTCTTGGCTCGGAGGTGGCGGGCGCTTCATGGCCCAAAGGAGAATCGAGGCTACAAGGCTTCTAGTTCATGGTCGGGGATAGGATGAAAACTTTGAAATTTGTGTTCCTTATTGGGTTTAAGTACCCATAAAGATGTAAAATGTTACCCAATTATGACAAAGGCTTGGGGTTTAGTTTATGCTTCCAGGATGTTCGGGCATGTTCGGGCTTGGGGTTTAGGATTTGGTGGTTTCGGGCGTAGGGTTTGGGATTTAGGATGAAGGGTCTGGGGTTTGGGAATTGGGTCTGGCTGGAAGTTCGTGACATCAACCGTCATGAGCGGCAGGCTTGAGCCAGGGCTTTTGCACTTTTTGGGTTGAGGCTCCGTTGTTGAGGTGTGTTGCCGCAGAGTGCCCCAGGGTTTCGGGCTCAGAGAGTTCATTCAGGGGGTGGTCATAGCAGCTTCCGGAGCAATGCGGAAAAAGCGTCTCTGAGGTTCCCGGCAGTTTCGCTTGCGCCCATACATCTTGGTGTCGAGGGAATATTTCAGCCACAAGGCCTTCCTGAAAGCGAAACAGGCTGTGCCCGGTTTTAAGAAAGCGAGCAGTCTGAAGCGAAGTCCTCCGATCTTTGCTGTAGTCGCCTTTCCTGGGCCTCGGCACAAGGCGTCTGCAAGATACCCAGTCGGTTAAGATACCGCAGTTAGAGGTACTCCGGATTGAAGGACCGACTCTTGTTGCACTTGAGGACTGTGCCAGTTTGCGAAACATGGACTTTCCCACGGTTGAGATGCCGACTTGCCACGGCCGGCAAGCTTCCCTCTCACTACGCCGAGGCCCGAGCTGAGGTGGCGATTTCAAGAGGGACTCGTTGTAGTTGAAGACGGGGCCTGCAGGAGGCCGCTTAGGGTCTGGGGCAGTCTTGGATATCGGGTAGCTCGGTGTCGGTGGACTACAGACGGTGCAGGTCGGCGCAGTCATCCAAGCTGGCCAAGCCGGAGTTCGCAGCCGTGGTACGCTAGGCAATAGAGCGACGGTATCCATGCACATTCTATGCTTCAGTGGTTTAGGCACCTACCCGGCGAGGTCTTACAACGCAGGGGCTTTGCAGCATAGTGAAGCGGAGAATGTGCTCATCTCGGTGCCTTTCCATTGCTTCACCACTTCGCGCTGCTAAGCGGACGTTAAATCACATGGCCGGTTTGGTTACGATTTCGCCTTTGAGGTCGACATGGAGGATGCGGAGGTTGGCCTGTGGGTTCAGGGCGTGGACCCGCCATCCCATTCACTACATGATGTCATAACATGCTGCGTTACGAAGAGCTTAACTACCGTAAACCGCTTTCCAGCTCGGCGCCAATGAAAACCACAAACGATGACAAGCCGAGCTTCCGGTCGCTTTGCCCCTCTTGCGAATTGCACCCATCCCTCAAGCGTAGCAAATCCATTTGAACTGAAGGTCTGACATGCACAGCTGGGTGCCCGCGCCCCACTTCCGCGTGTTGGCCTTCGACGACACACATCAAGCCCTGAATTCCTGCCCGTGTAGTCACTAGTCCTTCGACCTGCAGTGACCTACAGCCCTAACCCCAGTCCCTCACCCGGCCTGCATGACCGTGGCCGCATCAGTGCTAGCGCTGGGGACCTGGAACTCACGAAACTAGACCGAAACCGCGGTCTTATAAGCGTGGAAACGTATGGAGAGCAGGTACAAGTATGAGTATCTTCGTATTCTGTCGCGAGCGCTGGCTCCAGCTCGGACTCAATGAAGACCATGGGTGGGTTGAGAATTCCGGACATTCCGTCCTGCATCGGAGCAACTAGACTAACTAGATGCATCCAGCACGAAGCAAACAGCACAAGAAACACTTCACGAATGTTGAAGAACCTTCTGCTACCCCTGTGTTCAAGCTTCATGAGACCGCAAGGTCCCGGCCACGGGCACGTAGGAACCGCCAGCCTGGGAGTTTGGGCATGAGTGGCTGGTTGCAGGACGTCAACACGTGACCCATGCTTTGTAAGAATCTTTGCCTGGGCATCGATTTTAGAAATTGTTGCCTGGCTGAAGTCTGGCGGCGGGGCAGGCGGACACAGCAGGAACCAGAGGTGGTCGCTGCGTAGCGGTGCATCTGGCTCCCTGGACCCCTGGAGCCCTCAACTTGGAAGCCGATCCCCTTTCACCAAGCCACAAGCGGCTGCCCAGTGCGCGTCGGTGCGCGGCCCTGTCGGCTGTTAACAAGGCCTCGGTACATCGGGTATCGCTGGCTGAGTAGAACTTCAGGTTTGGAGTCGCTATTTCTGCCGCTAGGTCAGCACTTCAAATTGTGTGCACAGCACACGTCACCGCGAGCAGCATGAGCCCAAATCCAACTCGCAACCTGCGAAATCCAAACCCCAAACCCGGAACTCAAGCATGTCAGTCCCATGAGGGCCCCGACGCAGCGAGGCGCCCGCTGCCAAAGCCGCAGCAGCCACTGCTGTGGCACCCGCACTCCACGAGGCGGAAGGCGCGGTGCCAGCCGGTGCCTTTTACGACGGGGCTTGCAGGGCTTCAGGTTTTAGGCCAGTTTAGGCTGAAAGCTGCTGGGATGCCTCGGCGCGGCGAGCATGTGCCCTGAGGGATGCGGACCTCGCCTCAGCGTGGGGAGCGGCAAAGCAAAGCCGCGTGGATCAAGGAAAGTGCAAAGCCAACCGTGCATCAAACATCGAAAATGTCGCAGCGCTAGCAAGCAACAGGCCCACGTACATCCCAGGCGCCTGTTCAGACATCGGCCCCACGAAGCAAAGGAAACCACCGGCGGACATCGCCAGGGCGGCCGCCGATGCGACCGCCAAGGCGGCCGCAGACGCTCTGTGGGCCATGGCCGCGCTCCAGGGAACCTTGGTCTGAGTTCAGGGCTGGAGTGAGACAGTTAAGGCTTCGGGTTTGGGCTTCAAGTTGATTTAGGTTTCAAGGTTTTAAGGCGCGGGGTTGACGGTTGAGACCGCAATCGTCAGCACGCCATGATGCGCAAGCATTCTGCGTCATTCTCAACTTCCCCTTTAGCATTTTGCAGGGTGGTGTGGTGCCATATAGCTGATATACCGTTTTCAAGGACATGTGGCCATATTGTGCAACATTGAGACACTCGTTGCAGTAACTACCAAGTGCATAACTTTGCCTTTTGTGTTCTCACACACGTGGCAGGGCACTGCGACAGTTGAAGCTTGCCTACGTCTCGGTTCCAAAGCACTCGAAGAGAAGTCTCCGATTGCATCCAAGTCGCAAGCTAAATGGGGCGTAGCCGAACGGATCCGGCTCGAAGCCGAAAGGTTCACAGACACGCACTCAGGGGCTCACAACGAACCATGCCAATCTCCGACTACGCACCTGCAAGTGTTCAGTATTCGTCGTTGCCACAGACAACATGACATGGACTTTGGTTTCGAGATGATGCAACATAACCCAAGTACAAATGCTAAGGAAGTGGATCGGGGTTGGCACTATACTGCACAACACTTTGGGATATGAGGGGTTCAGCAGCCTCCAATCGACAATCTGGAACTATCATGGCAAATTGGACCGGCAATCTGCATCAACTCTTTGACTTGACTCCAATCGGTCCTGACGAAGTCTGACAATCTTCACACCTAGCTCGCACCAGGCTCTTCACGGATTTTTCTGACCATGAGCGCTCCCACATGTGCCGGACCATGTCCCAGAAGGAGGCAGCACCTGGCATCAACAGTTCGAAAAAGCTTGCAGAGGTCGTGACCGCCCTCGTCTAACGAACATGACAATCAGACCAGAAGAAAGACCGCGATGACGACAGTGACAATGACGATGATGACGAGATGACAACGACCAGTGTCGCGTCATCCGCGGTAGCGATGACAAAGGGGCCGTGTCAAGACGGATTATGATAATTAACATTTACAACTGCAGCCACAACCATGATCATGCTAGTCGGCTGCAGCAATAGCACCGGGAGCGGAAGTGAGCCTACACGCGAAAGCTGGCGCATCAAGAACGAAGAAACTCTGAAAGAGTTCATGCATGTCAACTTCCAGTCAGAATCTCTTCTAGTCATGCTCGCTCTTTCATTCCGGGCAAGCCTTCAAGGCTTAAGGGTGCAGGGTTTCAAGGTTAGGTTTAGGTTTTTTGTTTTCAGTTTCCAACGCTGAACGACCAGATCAGATTTTCACGCCCACGACATTCGGAACACGGTTTGGTGCACATGATCACAAATCTATGTGGGAAGCTTACGGCCATACTATTCGTGCCAGTCAAACCCTCTGTTAAGATTTTCGTCATTGGGCCTGGGCCGTCCCAGAAAACCTCATTTAATCCGAAACAGGCAGGCTCAGGCTACTTGGCTGAAGTGGCGCCGGTTGCTGCAGTGATAGTAACTATGACACGAGGATGCATGTCGCGCTGTGCGTGGAATCTTGTCTGCAATCCATCCGGTGCGACAGAGGCGTACAGCCTCAAGCGTCTCTTGCATCGGGCCCAACCCTGGCGATGTTTTCCTTACAGTGAGTTCTTAATCCAGATGCAGCATGTCTTTCCTGATCCCTTTCTCGAGCCCGAGACATCTGCGAAAAACAAAGTATGGGTGGTAAGCGTGAGAGGCAATGGACCCGAAGCTCAAAAACCGAGAAACAAGAACCCGCAAATCTCAAAAAAATCTGTAAAGCACAAGACCCCAAACCGCAAGCGTGGACCACGGCGTGCCTGCTCCAGCCGGAGCCGCACGGAGTCCTCAGGCTCAACGAACCCAACAGCTCTCCATTGGTTCGGGGATTGATGCTCAAGGTTTTGGGATGTTGGCGCAGGCTTTAAGCTCCAGTCTACGGTTTAGACCTTAGGGCGGGGTTTTAATCTTGTTTATAAGAGCTGACGGACCCACTCTCCGTGGATTAGGGATATGGGGCCGCAAAATACACAGCTACAAAGATTCTGGGGCTTAGGGATTTCAGGTCTAGGGCCCGGGTGCCACGTTGGAAGACGATTCAGGGAGTGGGATCCAGGTTTCGAGTTTGGGCTCACGAGGCACCCAATCCTGGAACCCTTCAAAGAGCCTACCGAAACCCTGAAACCGGAAAACCTCAACCCAAAAACCGATACATTGAGATGCAGACTAACAACCTTCAGCAAATCCCAGGAGCCAAAAGCCTAGCACTTCAGAATGCTAAGACCTGTCTGAGAAATAAACCCGAAACCTAAAAAGGCACTAAGCGCCCTAAACGCCTTGCCCTACGATTGGATGCATGCTGTTACGCTGCACTCCCACATTCTCAGCATCGTGCTGAGATCGCGGGCTCGAACACCCGCGCTGGTGAAAGAGTCTGCGAGGTTGGCTTGCAGGTCTTGATACTTAAAGAAACGAGATTTGAGCGGTAAGGAAGTACCACGGGCTTTTCTTTAGGATGTTTTGTGTCAACGCAGCCCACACGGCGGCCGAGAATAGCACCTGCAATGCAACCTGGTAGGAAGGTGCCGGGTTCTGATTCTGACTTGGAATCTGCTCTAGCTGTTAGAATGTTTGGGATTTACTTTTAAGTTACCATGGAAGGGCTCTATAACACACAAGAAGGACCAATAAAAAGTAGATCATCAAAGAGTCAACTGGGGGCCTACCGAGGTTTCTCCCTTCTCTGAAAGGGAATAGTATCCCTTGCACTTTGGTAAAGCAACTCTGCAATCTAGCTTCGCAAGAGTGTGCGGACGCATATAAAGCTGACAAGCAGATTGTGATGTCAACCTGTGCTTTGCTTCAACTTCGGATCTGCATGGTCACCATGCAAAACCGCATCGGTCCCCATAAGGAGCGTTCAAAAATCCTTCACCCTGCCATATCTGACGATTCTCAACCAGCCCTCCGAAATGTTTAGGGTGTATGTGTAAGTGCAAGGTTTTAGAAACCCCCCCAGCCTGTCGATGCCAGGGCTGCGACTGCCTTACTGGCGGCTCCTGTGCCGACAGCACCCAGAACCGAGGCAGATCCGAAGTTGCGGCAGAATGCGGAATGGCATCCTAATAGTCCTTGTCAGTTTTATACACACACACACACACACACTCCCGCCGACGTAAGTTGTTGCTGCTATGCCGAAACGGTTCACTCCGGTCGTGGGATGTTTTGGGCGCTTCGCCGTCAAGAGCTTAAACGAAGCGCAAACTGACGCGGACTTGCCACGGAGTCGTATGACAGAACTGTAGTATGGTCCGGTCGTGCAATATTTTCAGCCTTAGCCGTAGTACAGTAAGGGTTGATGTTTAGAGAACTTCCCCCGCATGTTTAGGAATTTGGGATACGGTAGCGGCCCGGTAGCGGAATCTACCGTGCAAGCTGGAGGCCAAAACTCAAATCTTCAACCACAAACCCTCAAGCGCAAACTCCCTGATGCTTGCCGCGTTGGCCCGACAAAGTTTCGGTCCGGCCGGAAAACCAACTGTAATCCCTAGGCCCTAAACCTTTTAGCAGGCCGCCCAAACAGTCGCGAAACCGGATCTTCTTGACGGGTACCAGGTGCCATGCCCTATCAGATCGCAGGCAACACTGAGGAACCCGCCAGACTGGCCGGTGCCACCTGCAGCAAGGCTCCCGATTTGAGGGTTCAGGCTTTCGGGTCCCGGATCCCTGAAATCTGAAACATGCCTCTTTGATGGCCAATCAGAACCCAAAGCATTTCCGTCAATGCAAGCGGGCCCTAGAAACGGGCCTTGAATTTCGCAAGATTGGGCCGTGTAGTCAAACGACTTCAAAATCACTCGAGCGCAGAATGATCTACAAAAACAACACCTGTTCTCGCCAGTAGCAGCAAAGACCCAAGCATAAACATCGAAACCTAATGCCTGCCGCGTGCCCTGTCGAAACTGCTTAAACGCTGCGAAAATAGTCCTGTCTTCTTTCTTTGTAAGTTTTTAGTGAGCCATCAGGATTACACGGATGTGTGTGTGTGTGTATACATATATATTATGCGTTCAAACATAGCGGTTAGGTATGAATACATGATCCATATATACCCACAGACACACACGACAAAGCGGATGACCACGACAAGCATGCTTGAAATGCGCGCATAGATCCTCCATCCAGTTCTTCACCGCACCTCCCCAAATCCCAAAACCCGCAGCGCTGAATCCCAAGCCTGCGCCCCGAACCCCAGGCCAGGAACCCGGAACTGCGAAACTGTTTCCAAACTTGCCCAAACTGCACACTGAGTGTGCCACGAAGGCAGCTTCAGATGTGTCCGGCGTCTGGGCAAGAGCCATTGATGTTACTTATGTGTTACTTGCAAGTACTGGAAACCTGCCAAGACTTCAAAGTCCATACTGTTCACCTTTTTGCCATGTTCAGCTTGCAGGCTCGGAGGGTCATGCGGGGTTCGAGGGATCCAAGAGTGCGGGACGGGCTTGATCTGGGTGCGCTGCAGAATGCTGCACGGCGTTTGTTTGCAAGCGCGTCAGGCAAATTACATAGGAACAGGATGCAAGGCGCGCCTCACCGCGACCTTTCGGGCGTAAGGGTTCAGGGTTGGGTATTCCTGAAACCAAAACATCCAACCCTAAAAATGTCCACACTAACTCTGCGCGCACCCCTAGACGTCTTCCAAAGCTCCGAAAAAACCAAGCAAAGCGTTGCGGGCTGGCGACCATGTCGAGCTTTCCCAGCTCCCTGAAAGAAAATCAAGGCTGGGCTCTGTCAACTCAATAAGCAATGGCCGTCTCTGCTGTGATTCCTACGCTGCTTCTGCTACCAATGCTAACTGCAGTTCAGCCACACGCCCCGCTGCCATCCGCGCCGCGCTGCTTGGAGTAAGAACTCGGGCCAAGCAAAGGAAGAACCAAGCACACACCAGCCAGCTTCGTCTAGAGTTCA